GTTCAGCACTTATGACATCCCTTAGATGATCCATGGCCCATTCGATCGCGTAGAAGCTGTTCTCGCTCTCGTCCACCGCCACCAACACTCTCAGCTTCTTCCTCTCCACCTCCGACTCCATCTCTTATTGTTATTTTCTCTTTTGGTATATGCATGCATATATACTTGTATGTGTGCATGTATACGAGTTGTTTGTGTGATGCGTGTTGCATTGCGGACGCCCATGATGGTTTTGGTTTTGACACGTGGATAAGGCACGTGTCGTGGTCGTGACAATTGTGTTGGATACTAGGTTCATTGAATCATCGTGGTACGTGTCCACGTAATCTTTTGTTACAGTTTAGTCCGTAAGATTCGGTTTATTGTTTCAGTTCATTGATTGATGTTCAATGAAAGTAATATTTTTAGAAAATGTTTTTACGAAAGATAAAAAAAAAATCGCTATGACAAGCTCAAGATCTCCATGGAGTCAACAAGAATCAGATATGCATTGTCTTGCTATAGAGATGACGGAATTACCCTCGTTGTACCCTTTAATGTACCTGGATTATCTTGGGCCCAAACTAAACCCACAAATCCGTGAGCCAGATTGTCTAATTGGGAAAATCACTCAAATATACTAAAAAGTAGGGGTGTAAAATGGGCGGGTCGGGTCGGGTTCGGGCCGGATTCAATTCGGGTCTAGAATTTTTCGGACCGGGCCGGCCCGCCCATTTATTTTTCGGGTCTAGGATCGATGGCTCGGAGTCCGGCTCTATAGGGCTTCGGGCGGGTTCGGGCCGGGCTTCGGGCTTTTTCTTAAATAAAAATATTTTTTTTTACGATAATAATAATAATAATATGAAACGTTCAACAAAAATATTTTTAAAACCGATAACAACAAAGTCATTTAGTTCACAAATAAAAATAAAATTGAAAAAATTATCCAATTGTTCAATTCTCCAACACCACAACATGCGATTAAAAACTTTGAAACGTGATAAAAAAATAACAAACATAATATAAAAAAAAATTCTATCATGTAATTAATTTAAAACCTATAGAAAAAAATCAATATGTTCATATACAAACAAAGGTTTAAAAATATATATTTGAAAACTTTTACCCTTTCTAAAATGTAAACTTATATATATATATGATATAATATGGTTAAGAAATTCAAAACTCCCGTCACTTTAAAAAGTTTAATTGGAACCAAGATATAAAAGTTCATCATTTGGTTCATATATATATATATATATATAACCCGACTGGCCCGGCCCGACCGGCCCGTAGCCCATTTGGCCCGAGGCCCGCAAGCCCGAAGTTTAATGAGCCTATATTTTTTAGGTCCATGTCCTTATAATTTTCGGGCGGGCTCGGGCCGGGTTTCGGGCTCCGGGCTTAATTGACATCCCTACTAAAAAGTGTCAACAGCAATTTCACCTATACACAAAAATAAAATCTTTTTTTTCAATTCTATCAAAAAGTACGAAATAACCTTTCTTTCATATTTTTTATGATTTTATTACGAATGTTATATAACTAACATACGACTAAAAAAAGAAGTATTTATGATCGTATAACAACTAAAGAAGTTATAAAATAAGATGTATTTTTTGCCATCTCATTTAGAATCAATTCTAACTATATTTAGAATCAATTGCAACTGTATTTAGAATTAATTACGATGTTGCAATTATAATTACACAGTTTTATTAAGGGTAATATGGTCTTTTCGAAGAAAAATTAATGTGTTATATTTTTTTTGGGTATATCACAAAAATTGCTGACACTTTTGGTATATTCGAGTGATTTGCCTTGTCGAATTCCCGACTCGATGGAGACGGATGGCCTCTCTCTCTCCTCTCTCGGTATTGTTTTCCGGCCTTTTTATCCGGTGGTCAGCTTTCGACACGCGCCGCTACTGCCTTCGGCAGATTCTTGCTTTCTATATTGTTTACTGCGGCAATCGTTCATCGGAAGAAGGAACATTGTTTGGCCGGGAAATCGATTCCATTTCTGAGTGTGCCGATGGTTAATCAGTCGTTGAATCGTTTCCTCTACAGTTTCCGTAAGATCTAGTTACTCTTGCTCTCCCTAGAAGACCTAGAACTTTCTCGCCTTAGCTTGAAGGATTCGTTTTTCAATGGTTAATCGATGGACGACCGTGTTTCTTTTTTCACTACCTTATACCGTTTCTTCAGTCCATGATCCGATGTTTGAACATGGAGATCTTCGATTTGTTCAACGAAGAACAATTTTGTGTGGGTTTCTGGTTAAACGGTATTTCACTGTGACGTTTTGAAGGGGAAAAAAATATGTCCTTGCATTCTGGTTTTGACAAATTTTCTTGAAATTTGTTCCGCGGGGCATGTTTGCGATCCCTCGAATCTAATGTATGATGTCGAAACAAGTCTCTTCCTTGGTAATGATTCTTGAGAATTTCCAGTTTCAGTCATGGAAGAGTCACCTCCCAAGAAAAGACAAGGATCATATCAAGGAGTTCTTTACAATGTTACTAACCTTTTTAATTCACAATGTTCAAAATCAGACAAGGTAGTGAAGGAGACATCACTGGTGTCTCTTTGAGGTCTGAAATCGAGAAGAGGAAAACGCTATGAATCTTGGAGTGACGGTTATAGCCATTGAGCCGGCTCTGCAATTGCGTAGGTGAGCTCTTTCGTAAGGTCTGTTCGTATCGATTCTCCCTGGTGTACTTGTTCTCTCATTTACATGTTCTTCGTGGAAGAAGATTCTTCCTGGGTTTTTTCACCATCTGACACACAAGTGAGAGTTTAGTGGGTACTCATTTCAGCCATCTCCACTCCAGGAGGATGACTGATTTGGTAAGTAGCATTGCCTCTTCCAGTTGCTTTATATTAGCTTCAATTTGTTTGAAACAAGTACAGTAGCGGTACACAGTCTATTTCTTGAGATGGAGGTAGGGTGTAAATTGGGCCGGTCCGATCCGACCCGGTCTGGACCCACAATCGACCCGAGAATTTCGGATTCGGGCTGGCCCAAATTTTATAGGGTCTATAAAACTAGACCCAAACCGAATCTTATAGGATTCGGGTTCGGATTCGGATTTGGACCAACTCAGTTTAAAAGCCCGAATTTTTTGTGTCTATAATTTTAAGTCCAAACCCGATTTTTTTTTGGACGGGTTTGGATTGGACTTTGGGTTTCGGGCCCAAATTGACACCCCGAACACTTTAGCTGTGTCTCTGTTGGGAGGTTTTGGTTTCCAGTCACATTCTTTACCTTTGAATTTCACTTTAGGAGTGGTTATTATAGTGAATAATATTTCAATGCATTATGTTATGAGTATTACATTAGATTTATACAAGAGGTTGTTGCTGTGGTTTAGGAGAGAATAAGGGACAATCATATCTACGAGATTACAATCATTGACTAAGGAAAGAGTTACGGATTTGTTGGTTGTCATATATCTTCTTTCCTATACGCCCCCGCAAGATGTGTGTCGGAAGAGACACCGATCTTGAGACGCAGCAGCTCGAACTTCTCTCGGGGAAGCGGTTTGGTTAGGCCATCAGCTAATTGATCCTTCGAGGAGACGTGTGCCACACGTAACAACTTTGCTTGAACCAATCCCCGAATAAAATGATAGTCAATCGCTATGTGCTTCATCCGTGAGTGGAACACCGGGTTTGCGGCTAAGTATGTCGCTCCAACATTGTCACAATAGATGACCGGGGTTGTCGACAGTTGAATTCCAAGTTCGGACAGTAGCGAAGTAAGCCACCGAACCTCAGACGCTGTTGTGGACACCGACTTCTATTCAGCTTCCGTTGACGATTTTGCCGCAAATCTTTGCTTCTTCGAAGCCCATGAAACAGGATTGCCGCCTAGGTAGATGATGTGAGCACCCGTTGAAGAGAAATCATCTTTGTCACCTCCCCAATCCGCATCCGAGAACGCATGTATATTGCTAGAAGAGCCAACATGAAAGTGAATGCCATAGTCTCGGGTTCCAGCAATGTACCTTAGGATGCGCTTGACTGCTCTCCAATGATCTTCACGTGGTTGATGCATGTATTGCGAGAGTTTGTTAACCGAGTAAGCAATATCCGGGCGAGTGTGTAAGAGATATTGCAAACCTCCAAGGGCTTGGCGATATTCCGCAGGGTCGGTAAGAAGAGGGCTGGAGTGAGCCGAGATGAATGTTGTTGACGCGAGTGGTGTAGGTGTAGGTTTCGCATCAGCCATGTGATGTCGTGCTAGAAGATCCGAGATATATCGTTGTTGAGTGAGACGCACACCTTTGGAATTCTGATGCACCTCAATACCGAGGAAAAACGATAGCTTTCCAAGGTCTTTGAGGGAGAAGCGTTGTGCTAGAACATCAATAAATCTTTGGACCGCGTCCGAGTTGCTCCCGGTGATGATAATATCATCAACATAAACAAGAAGGTAGAGTGTGACATTGTGTTGATGATATATGAATAGAGAGGAGTCCGATAAGGAGTTGACAAACCCAGATGAAGTAGAAATTGGCGGAGCTCATTGTACCAAGCTCTGGGGGCTTGTTTAAGTCCGTATAACGCCTTGTGTAACTTGCATACGTACGATGGCCGGTCTTTGTCGACGAATCCTGGGGTTGCACCATATAAACATCATCATGGAGAGAGCCTTGTAAGAAGGCATTGTTCACATCGATTTGTCGTAAATCCCAGCCTTTCTCGACTGCTATGATGATAATGACACGGATAGTTGCAGCCTTGATCACAGGACTGAATGTCTCCGTATAGTCGAGTCCCGGGCATTGGTGAAATCTTTTGGCGACTAGTCTCGCTTTGTGCCTGTCAATGAAACCGTTAGAATCACGTGTTTTCGGTGGCCATGATGCGGTGATGGACCGGGAAGAAGAAAATGGATAGCAGCAGTTGGCTGGAAAAATAAGGAAGAGCTTAGGGTTTTGTCGTATGACTTTGAGAGGTTCCGATACCATATAGTGAATAATATTTCAATGCATTATGTTATGAGTATTACATTAGATTTATACAAGAGGTTGTTGTTGTGGTTTAGGAGAGAATAAGGGACAATCATATCTACGAGATTACAATCATTGACTAAGGAAAGAGTTACGGATTTGTTGGTTGTCATATATCTTCTTTCCTATAGTTATATCATCACCTAATGT